AAGAGGATTTTACAAAAGACCTGGCATTCACTATGCTCTGGTGTCTTCAAACTCTTAGAGAGATTCATCAAATCTCGATGTGATTGCCCCGGATTGACTGTAGTTGGCACAACAAAGTCTTAAAATTTTGCCCCAAAAGAGTAAACAAATTGGGAAAAGCATTAACTGGGAGAAGCAACATGTTTGTGCTTAAGGTTTTCATGTGACATGCCCCCTGATGTGATTTTTTCTAAAAATGATACTCCAATTACTCAATCATAGTTTCAGGCCTTAAAAGAATAAACTCATCAGTGGTGCTTATGTGAGCTTCCTTGATATCAAACACATGTTTTGTAGTTAGAAAAAGTTTACAATGAGAATGAAAATTCTAATGCAACAGTTATGTAAGTCTTGAAGATTTTGAAAGATATCGCACAAATTTTGCGAGTTAAAGCACCATTTATCTTTGTATAGGAAAAACATATGATACCAACATAACTATTTAGAACATTCATGGGAGTCAGGAACACTATCTCATTGAAGTATGCTTTCAAAATAACCTTGCTTCAATTAGGACTTTTGAAGGTTGTAACGTGGTCTGGTTCATGGTTTTTAGAAAAAAGATTTTAAGGCTCAAAATATTTGGTGCTCACCCATTCTTCATGATGTTCTCCAACCCTATGTTCAGTTAATTCAAACATGAGTGTTCATCTCTCAAAAGGATTTTGTGACGGTCAAGGAAACGACGAGGCTTTCGGAGTAGAAACCACCCTCATGTCTTCGTGTTTGTAGTCACCAATTTGTTCTTTGCTGAGGACTTTTCTTTGCATTCCTTTCTTTGCAATTTTTATTTTCCCTAACTTTTGCCTGGACTAATTCTTTTGAATTGATAGTCCAGCGGGATGCCTTAATTTTTGCCTAAGTCACACGTTTTCATGTTTTTTTGACTTAGCAGGCTTTTTCTTTTTCTCGATTTTTGACTTTTTGAATAAAATGTGTGACATTAGCTTGTATTTGCTTGTTGAGAAGATTGTGATTGCCTAGTTTCTTGATGAATGAGGGATAACATTGTGATTCCACATCTTCTGGCTTCATTATACATGAAAGATAGCCCTCATAGTTTCTCTTCAGAAATATCTTCCTTATGAATTTTGAACACTCAATCAGATTAACTGAAAACTACCCTGCCCCAGGTTAAAAGTTGAGGGTTTTTTCGTATAGAAAAGAAACTTCTACTTCAAGGCTCAAAAGGGGTTAGCAAGGGATTATCTTCCTTATATCTCCGGTGTTTAGGGATTAGAAACAATGCTTGTACATCATCAACAAGATCTTATTCAAAAGCATGCAACCAGAGATTTTGTGTTCTTTAGATCATCATCCTCCTCAATCTCTGCCTAGGTAAGAGGATGGGCAACAAGTTGGTATCATAATGCAAAAAGCAATTTAGAATTTGAAAACAAATATGTGTGAAACAAATGAATTTCTTCAAGACAAACATGCTCATTGTATTAAGATAATCATTCAAATGTAAACAAGTTCTTACATGCAAACAATGTTTTGATAAACAAGAAAAATTGCAACAAGCAGAAATAAGTTAATGATCGGGGAAGGCTTTCCATCTGGACTTGAATCACTGAAAACATCCTTCAAAACTCAAAGTGACCATCAATCGTGTTTACTCTTCGGCACGTGCTTGATTTAAACTTCAAAACCAACGTCCTTGAATGACAATCAGTGAATACTTTTATCATCGCTTCCTCCTTCTTAGAAGGATTGACTTGGGCGGAAACCAAAATTTAGACCAAACCAGTTAAGGGCTCCACACTAGCTTTCAAATTAGTCATCTCTCTACGGAGTTCAGAAACCTCTTGCTTGATATTCTCCATTGTTCTCTTAGCGCCAGTGTTGTACTGGTGAGACCAAAGGAAAAATAAGACTCGGAAAAAGACCTTTGAAAGTGAAACAAAAAAATGTAGAATGATGTATGATATGCAAAAGAGAGTTTTTATTTGATTTTCAAGGAACTCAAGATATTAAGTTGTAAACATCAAAGTATGAAGATAGAAGATGAATTTTAAATTGGCTCCAAACATTGATCAAGTTATCATCAAGATCAATCATCCATTTTGGTGGATTAGGGTTTTCGCCCTATCAACACCCAAGATCCATTGAGCTTGACGAAACTTGTGATGTTTACAAAGAAAGACTTCCAAATCAAGTGAAAAAGGGTTTCATGGATGCATGAAGGTATGGCTAGGCAACAACCACAAGCAAGGTCAGAAACAAAGTCGAAAGGTTCAACGTCACGAGCATGGAGTCAAAGGTAAAGACCATCCCCAAGGTATGTACTAAAGGTTTAACCACACCTGCAAAACAAGGTTCTAAAAGTTCTCGGAGTCTACATTCCTCCTTCGGATATTACCAACGTCTTGATTACTCAATAATCAGCAATATTCTCAAGAGAAACTCATCCGAGCGTAGCATCGCGTAACAATTACTTCCGGATTACTCCGTTATAATCTTCGCGCTACACCTAAAAGGCCAAGATGGGTTAGGGTTCTACGGTTCCCAGCTTCTCTGGCTCCCAGGTCGAAAATAATAATGTCTTCTCGATTACTCGGTAAACAAATATTACGTTCAAAAGGGCCTTCCACTGAGTGGGGGATCTCATGTCTCCTTCTTCGGGATTACTCCCTCAAAGTTAACATGAATATACCGCCCGTCCTATTCCTAAGTGTAACTTAGTCCGCGTATAGGACTTGTCCTTTGTAAATATTATCAACACCCAAATAATATATACATATAATCAAACAATCAAATAATGATAAAACAGATAAAACAAATTAGGCTTAACCCACTTAGGGATGGACCAGCAAGAGGTCAATCTATCCCCAGCAGAGTCGCCAATTCTGTAGCGGTGAAAATCGGAGATCAAGCTATTAATTAACTTGACTCATAAAAGCAAGAGTCGCCACCGCGCTTTATTATTTCCAAGGGAAAAGGGAAAAGAGCGAAATAAAACCCTAAAATATGCAATGTAAAGTAATATTTAAAAGTAATGAAAATACAATGCATTTTTAAAAGAGATCGAGAGTTCGGGAGTTGGTTATACAATGGGAAGGTATTAGCATCCAATGCATCTGCGGTACTCCGCAGGAACCTTTTGAAATATCTGTTTTTGGTTAAAATTGTTTGTTTGATTAAAATGGTTCGTTTGGCTAAAAATCGGTGTTAGAGAGATTTTGAAGATGTGATAACCTAATGTTGAAGTTTTGACTTAAAAAGGGGTGTGAGTTTAAAAATTGATTTGTAGGAGATTCGTCTTAAGATTAATAAAACTAAAAAAAGGTATGAAGGGATTTCACATAATCGTATTAGATACTCGATGACATGAAGTCAACAAATTAATTCTTTCCCTTGGATTTAAAACCACAGACAGATAAATAAGCTAAGAGTATATCAAACCTCAGGTGAAAATAAATCACAAGCCGACAGCATCAAAAAAAACCTGATGTAAGATAATACTCCAAGCATCAGACAAAGCGCAAAGGACGATGGATAAAGCTCACGATATCAGATAAGGATCAAGATATTGAATAAAGCTCGCGGTATAAGATTCCCTGCATCACATGAAATATACAGACAAAACTAACAGCACAGGAAACTTATGTGCGTCCGCACAATTTTCAGAAGTTAGTTGGAATTAAAAATAAAATCACAATGCGATGAAAATAATATTTTCAAAACCTGAATTTATTTACAAGTGAAGTGAATAGACAGTCAAAATATTATGTACAAGTATATATTTACAGTACCAAATATTAAATCAAAATAGTAAGGTAAAAAAGGAATAATAAAAAAGTATAAATGCGCTATGCGAGAGCGAACACTTGAAACAGTTCTCGGAAACCTTCACAGTAAACAAACTCGTTAGTAGCATAAGCGGTATAAAATGAAGGAAATTGCAACGGTTAAAACATGTGTCAGTAAGTAAAAAAACATGAAATTGTGTGCTGCATATGAATAAATGAATATTTACACAAATAAAAATCAAGAATTCATGACATTATTCAATGTAAACACAAAAATCAGCATTGCATTCATTATTTCAAGTGTATCAAAAGCAACCGCTATTTCAAACACAACGGAAAACAAAAATCAAAAGCTCACTTTGCAACATGAGAAATTGAATTCAAAGCATGAACCAAACAAATGATGATTATAAACAATTTAAATTCACAAACAAAACCAAAGAAACTCATGCTATAATTCCATTCAAACCATGAAAAATCAAACATTATTCATGCAAATCAAAAGTTGGACAACAACTAAAAACTTTATGGACTTAAAATCTCAAAGCGAAAATCAAATGTTCATTCCATTTATGAGTATTCAAAAACCAATTAGCATCTATTCATGCTACTCAAAACATGTTCAAAACATGGAAAACAAAATGTAATTGAGCCATAATCGATCAAATTGAAAAAACCGGGCAGCAACTCTATAAAATATGTCCCAAAAATTCCAATTTTAAACATGGTTTGTAACAAAAGGAAATAACATGATGTCTTCAATGGTTTCTCGGTTAGATTTACACGCAAATAAAATGCGGCATTATCGTCACCTTCATCGAAACTAACATGAATATTATTCGCCACAAATTCAATTGAAATCAAAACAAGAACAAATTATCACGGTACAAATTTCAATCGAATTCAAACAAAACATGGTAATAACTCAACATACACAAACAGAATGGTATCCGACACAATAAATTCAGCATAATCCAATACTTAAAGCGACATTGAATTTAGAATTCATCATAGTTTAATAGCAATTTTGACTCAACTGAATAAATTCAAAATCACATTTCAAGCTACTATCAGTGGATTACCAATCTAACAACAAACTGTTTTTCATCAGAACTTAACAACAAAGCAAAACTAAACAGCATCACAATTATATGCAACTGAGATAAGATTGGAAATTACCGAATCGTGTCGACATGGAGATGCAATCTGTTAAACATTCACGGCGAGACGGAGAGAAGCTGCAAGCAAGTTGGTCATGGGAGTTGTTGGTGCTGTTTGACGGGAATCGCTTGCGGAATCGGTATTTTGACGGTGACGGATTGCTAGCGGAACAGGGTAGTTTGGGTCGAAGATGAAAGTGATGGTTACTGTTGGTGGATACGATGATGCAGTGTGATAGCAGGGAGGAGAAGATAAAGGGCGATTGGTGGATGAAGGGATATGATGTTGCCGGTGGAATGGGTTGTTGTTGTTCTGGTTTGGGAATGGAGAAGGTTGAGGGAGATGGGTTACGGTGAGGATGCAGAGAAGAGGAAGAAGGAAGAAGGTTGGAGTTAGTAGATGGGAAATGAGTAACTGCATATGCTTGTTGTTCGTGGAGAGAGGGTGAAGGGAATTAGGTGGGTTGATTGAAGGGGTATGTTATTGGCGGAGATGGAAGGAGTAGGGAAACAGAGTTACGGTGAAGGATTGATTGAAGAAGGGTGGAAAATTGAAGAGAGAAAGTAGCAGTACGTGAGGTGATGTGGGTGAAGGACGGAGTGAATACGGTGGATGCAGTTTGTCGCAGAAAGAGGAAAGGGATAGTGAGAGATGAAGGGAAATTGGGATGGATGTTATTTACTGTGAGGCGAAATGGAGAGGGGGTATTACTGCTAATGCTTTTATTTTTGTGATATGAGTAGAGAAAGAGATAAGTTGTATGCTACTGTATTGTTTTTTTTTGTTTTTTGTTCTCTGATACAAAGAAAATTAAGAGGTCTTATATAGACAAGTGAAGAAGAAAAAAAATTGATTTTAAATTCAATCATGATCCGTTGATTTCCATTTTCTCTGTATCAATCCACCACTTTTGTTAACAGCCAATGAGAGCATAGTATATTGTAATCAATATATTTTTGTGACAAAAACGCCCTTAAATGATAAAAATGAAATAAAAAACTGAAAGTATTAAAATTAATTCAATTAAAAATATATTTTTTTGAATAAAAAATAAAGAGCTAAAATGACCGAAAACAATAAAATATATATGAAGAAAATATGGAATAGAAAACAAAATAAATAATAAAAATAATAAAATGGGCCAGGAGTGTAAACATAGTCAGGGGGTTAGAATCAACAAACAAATGGCCAGATCCAAGTTAGAGACCCAGTGCTGCAAACAACAACCAAAAAAGTGAAAAATATGAAAAACAAGTAAAAGGGTACCACTGGGGCTCGAACCCAGGTCCCTCTGGTTACAGGCGCGCGCTTTAACCACCGGGGTGGTGATAAATCTGTTAAAATTGGCACAACAATAAATACATAACACATATTTTTCCCTGCCTGTACTTCATCTTCAACCTCCAGCCAAAGGATTTCAAACTTTCTCATTCCTACCCATTTTCAAAAATGTAAACATGAAACTTGTGTATTTTTTCACCATGAATCCAACCATGTAACTAATTTAAACTAACATTCAAAGATAAGGATGAATTTATGAAAGTACCAAATTCTGACCTAAATGTTTCAGCAAGTTTAAACTCAAAATTCTCCATGCTCAAACAACATAAATGAAATTTATGGACATGTATAGGTTCAGGGAAATGATATCTACATTTTATCTTCACAAATGCAAGCCTAACAATGCCTAAATAATAAGATAGAAGTTCAAGAAAAATACCTCAAAACTGGAAATCATGAAATGAGTTTGAGCTTGTTTCAAGTGATGGTGATGATCAGGTTAGCTTCCTTGGAACTCTAGGAAGCTAATGCAATGGCTGGCTTGAGCTGAAGGTGGCTTGAATGGTCCGGAGAAGTCCAACTGTGATGCTCTATTTTTGAACTTGGAAATGGGTGAATATGGTGTTACAGTCTTGTAACAGGGATATGGATGACTTATATATGATGTTTGGAAGCTTTTGGAAGCTTTTGGAAGCAAAACGCCAAGAAACGCACGAGTGAAATGGAAGTTTGAAGTTCTTGGTTTGAATATGCAACAATGATGGTTTGTGATGCAGTTCTAAGTTTGGGGAAGTTTTGGAGCTTGTATATTCGTGTTTTAGCTTACAAGCAACTTGTGCATAAGTAAGGAAAAAGTTGTGAGACTTGAGAGGGTCAGAATCACACAAGTACAAGTTATAGGATTTTGCTTGTTTTTGAAGCATGCTTGAATCATCTTGTTTCAATGTGAAGTAGCAAGCTTGTAGGGTGGCTGTAACTTTTAAACATGCTTATTCTGATTGTGTAGGGAAAGCTTGTGCAGAAAGGACAAGTTCAATGCTCAAGATAAAACTGATTTTGTGGTTAAAGCAACTTTACTAGAATGGAATGGTTACTTTCTTCCTAAAATGGAAATAATCATGGGTAATGCATTGAATGCTTGAGTTGAAGCTTCTTACAACTGTGCAAACATTTAATTATGGAGTGACAAACAAGTTTAAGGCATGCAAAGCAAAGATTATGCAGCCTAGTCTTGGATTTGAATTCTTGTTCATCATGAAATGGCTTGTAATTCAAGTTTGAAAACACTAACTTCATCTCTTCGCTTCTCCCAACTCAAACATGATCTCAATGAGTTCTTGAAAATTTTGGAAAGCTTGTAACATGCTCTACAACCCCTATTTGAATCACTTTTTCAAATTCCAAATGGAACTATATGAAAAGTTGCTATGAAGTTGGTATCAAAAATCTGCCTAATTAGGGCAAATTTTCACTAAGTGTTTAGTTTCATGACCATAATTTTACGAATTAATAACTTTAGATCCAATCATTTCTACGAGGAGTTGTGTAAATAAATGTTTTAGATCTCATTTAGATCTAAAACTTTCATGAAATGTTTTAGATCTCATTGATATCTAAAACTTTCATGTTGAAAGTTTCCTTTGAATCATCTTGCATTATGGTGAAAAATTGGCTCAAAGTTGTGAAAAAATATGAAGTTTTCAACACTTAGAAAAATTTCTAAGTTTGGAAACTTTGACTTTTCAAAATGAAATATTGACTTCTTTTTTTATTTCTTGATGAACAAGTTTCATATTTTGACAGGTTTTGATGAATTGTGATATTCGACACTTGATTTTGACCAAAAAGTCAAAGTTTGACTTTTCAGTGTACAGTTGATTTTTGATCAGTTAACTAAAAATCAACTATCAATCAATTGATCTTGAAGGAAGTTTTGAGTCATACCAATAGGTCAAAATGATGAACTTGAAACCTTGATATCATGCCTCAAACCAATTAACCATTTGCTAGGTCAAAAATCAAAAATTGCCCTTTCTTAGTCAAAACCATAATTTTTACCATTTTGCCCTTTTGATGATCTGGTCAAATTTCTTGAGGAATTGTGGTCCAAACTTGATCAATTGAAATATAGGAGTTCACAATGTTGATATGGATAAAAAATTATGAAGTTTGACTGTAAATTGACCATAGTTGACTTTTTCCCCAATACAGTTGATTTTTTAGGTCAACTGATCAATTGAATGAGCAAAGATGTGATCCAAGACTTGAAACTTGACATTAGAAATATTGATGGTCTATAATGATCCATGAAATTAATATGAGGCATTAAAAGATCAATTATCCTTGTGCAATCTCAAACCCTAATTCCAGTCATCAGTGCTTAAGGAGGTGTCTTGAGCTGATCAACCATTGTGCAGTCTTGAACCAAAGGAGATCTTGTGAGAAAATACTTGATAAATGATAGGGAAAATTTTGGGGTACAACACATACCAAAACTAATTAGCCTATCCTTAGTAGGGAGCTTACCGTTCAATACCATCCAAAGAGTGAATATTGCTCTCGGCCTTACATAGTTACTAGTAAACATTTTATGCCAATTCACCTTGTCAAAACTTCCTCTCATAACTTTGTACATGCTTCCTGTATTATACCATTTTCCAAGCTTAACTTCTTTCCAATACTGAATATTCTTGAAACTATCCCTGTATTTAATGATTCTCTTAATTATCCAAGAATAGTTTTTATTCATTGTCCAACTCATAATATCTTCCTTTTTAAGATAGTATGTATTAACCCATCTCAGCCACAATTTATCCACTTTTTAAGATAGGCAGAAACTCCTTAAGGACGAAAATAATAATAGATATGGATTTGAAGATACCCTACACTGACTCAGCGATTAACACAGGTAGAAACTCCTTAAGGATGAAGATAATAATAGATATGGATTTGAAGATACCCTACACTGACTCGGAGATTGAGACACGCAGAAACTCCTTAAGGATGAAGATAATAATAGATATTGATTTGAAGATACCCTACACTAACTCAGAGAATTAGAAAGATAGGAATTCCTTAAGGATTAAGGACCATAAAAGACGAAGAGGAGTCCCTACAAGCTAGGGATTATAACTGAGGGACGAAAATTCCTACAATCTAGGAATTGTAATAGACTAATGGGTGGTTGAGGAATATCTACAGGCTAGGGGTTATGACTTACGAAAGATAAGCCCTACAGGCTAGGGATTGTAGTATTCCAAAACTAAACCCTGCGGGTTTAAGGATAGTGGAAATGGGATTATATGGATGGTATCCTTGGAAGCTAGGCTCCTAGTTTTGGCCTACGAGTATTCTATCTTTCCATAAGGTAACTTCCTTAAGGGTATCATGAATAACACAAGAGGGAAAGGCACAAGGGCCTCCCTTAAGTGGAGTCTCTTTACAGACCGAAAATTTCGTCTATAGGTCACAGAAGGTCTCATCATAAGATTTGGTTTAGGGTTGTACAAATAGTCATATGTGTCATTCCAAAGTCCTACTTTCCAAGAGGATATCTCTTGATAAGTATTCCTTTCGCAGAATTCCACCGACTCTAGGAGAAGTCGTCACATAAATTGATAAGGATGATATATCCTCTTGGCTAATAGACGAACCTTCTTTCTAGGAGTTTTTAAAAATATTTTTATTTTAAAAATTAAAATCCCACCTCAGGTGAATAATTATAATGAATAATAATAAAAATAAACAAGAAATAAAAAAATAAAAAAATAAAAAAAAAGTTAAAAAAAATAAGAATAAAACCCAAAAGAAATAAGAAAAACCTTAAAACCTAAAAACAAGGCTTCTAAACCTAGGGATGACTCCCTAGAAGAGTCGCCAACTATTGCAACTGGTTTTTAAATCAGAGTCGTCAGCCTTAACTTTTATCCTAAGAAAGAGAATATAAAGGAATAACCCTAAAAGTTCGAATATTTTAGGTTTGGACTCGGTTCTAGAAGAAGGGAAGGTATTAGGCACCCCCTCATCTACCTTGTTCACAAGGATACTAGGTTTAGAAGCGTGTTTTCAGGAAATAGGATTTTAATTATTAATTAGGGGAAAATGGGTTTTTATTTTAGTTAGGGGAAAAAGGGTTTGAA